TCTTTCTTTGTTTGGGAAATTTTATAACATGAAGCAATTAACTTCCTAGTTCTTTATTCGTTGTAATTACCTTTTATTTTATATCCAAACATTAACCATAGTCTTTTTGCATTCTAGTGATGATCAATGAGAGTGAAGATTTGGTGCCACTTGAGTGCCGGTTAAATGACTCGGAAGATGATGTGGACCATGGTGGTTCTCATTATCTGAGAAACGCACAGGAAAGAGTTTTGGTTGGTCAGTTTGAAACAGCTGGGAAAGATGATGGCTTTGAATTGGATTATCCATATTATGCATATTCTGAGGAGGAGTTACATACTGATTATTCTTCGGATGAGGAAAATAATTATCGTTTCCCTACGTATGATTCTGAGATGGAGAAGTTTAATCCACAACTAGAGGTTGTAAAAGAGTTCAAAGACATAGAAGAATTTAAGAAAGCAGTTAGACATCATGGAGTAGTCACTAAGCGTAATTTGAAGTTTACGGTGAATAATGAAAAGAGAGCACATGGAGTGTGCAAAAAAAAAAAGATTGCAAGTAGAAGATTTGGCCTTCATGAAATAAGAATAAGAGTTGCGTGCAAATTAAGACCTTCAATTCACAGCACACATGCATATGAGATCGAACAAATAGGCATTGTACACCTAAATTTATTGCTGAGAAGTACATAGAGACTTTCAAGGTTGCCCCTGGTTGGAAGTCAGAACTTATTATTAAGGCTGTGAAAGATGATTTGAAATTAATAATCAATAGAGTTACTACATGGAGAGCTAGAAGACAAGCGGGGATATTGATTGAGGGCTCTAATGCACACCAGCTTGGCCTGCTTTGGTCCTTTGCTCATGAGATTTTGAGAAGCAATCCAGGATCCACATGTATAGTTACCACGCATGATTCAAAGTTTCAAGGGGTTCATATATGTTTAGAAGCTTGCAAGAGAGGTTTTATGAATGGTTGTAGGCAATTGTTAGGCTTAGATGAGCGTTTTTTGAAAGGGAATTTTGGCGGACAAATCTTGTTGCCGTGGCACTAGATGCCAATGATTGTATTTATCCCGTATCATAAGCAATAGTGGAGACAGAGAATGCTAGAAGTTGGAGATGGTTCGTTAGTCATTTGGGCGAAGATTTAAGGATTGTGAATAGTAACGAATGGACTTTTATGACTGATAGGCAAAAAGGATTACAAAAGGTTATCGAAGATCTGTACCCTGATGCTGAACATAGGTTTTGTGTGAGACACATGTATTCAAATTTTTTTAGGGCTGATTTCAAGAGTTTGGCACTTAAAGGATACTTATGGAAAGCTACAAAGTCGACTACTGTGCCTGATTGGAAATTTTGGATGGATGAACTTGCGAAAGAGAGTGTGGGTGCGTATGAGTGGTTAATTAAAAGGGATCCACGTGAATGGAGTAAGTCTCATTTCTCCACTAAGGTAAAGTGATGTAGTACTTAACAATTTATGTGAAGTTTTCAATAATGTAGTGTTAGAGGATAGGGAAAAATCAATCTTGACTATGTTAATTGACATGCATATTAGTTGCATGAAGAGGATACAATCAAGAAGGGATAAGATGAGAAGAGCCAGAGGACCTTTGTGTCCAAAAATTCAACAAAAATTAGCTAAATCCATGGAAATAGCTGAGGAATGTGAAGTAGAGTGGTCTGGGGGCCCACAGTTCTATGTGAAATGTCGTACTGGGGAATATGTGGTGGATTTGTCAAAGAAGACATGTGCATGTAGGAGATGGAATTTGACGGGGATTCCATGTGGACATGGGGTTGCTGTTATACTAGACAGAGGGGATAATCCTACAAAGTATGTGCATGAATGCTACACAGTGCAAACATATCTACAGTGCTATGAAAACATTGTCAA